CTGAAAAATATCAGCCTTCGAAACAAACTCAGAAGGAATGCCATCATTCTGTTAGTCAAGTCAAGCTGCCTTTTGCAAAAAAAAAAAGGCACCTTTGGGACAACCGTGGCTTGAATGAGGGAGAACCTCTCCAGACATTCAGCTGGATATGGGGAGATCCTTCAGGGGAGGCTCTGCCCAGGACCCCTCCCCTCTTCGCTGACCCCGAACCCACCCACCCTTCCTGCCTTTGTCCTTTGCAAAGTTTAAAAAGGAAAACAAATCCGGCAGACAGCTGGTCTGGGCTCTTGCGCCTTGGACACACCGAAGAGACAAGAAGGAGGGAGGGAGGGAGGAAACGAATGAGAGGGTGAGATTTACTCCCGTTCTAAATTATTCACACGAAAAGGGACTGCACATCTTTTAACAAGCCATCGTTTTATGAACAAGGTTAACATTTTTACTTGATTCAGTAGAATATTATAAACTCTCCGGGGCCCATTTGAGGACTTTCTACGTTGCGCAAAAGGCACGGACTCAGCACTTTGGATATTATTTAGAGAATAAAATTAACCCTCCACGGCCCAGGCTGGGTATTGTCTCTTCCCCCCCACTCAGTTAAATATGGCATGCTCAGCAATTCCTTCTCCCCCTCCCCCCCTTTCCATATATTTATATATTTATATATATATATGTGTGTGTAATTACAGGCTGCTATCCATCATCTGTAGAAGAATGTTTTTCTGACACGCCAAAAGTGATGCCGTAAGCACGTTTGGCTAATAGAATAAATATTCTAAATATCTCTTTTATATTTTCATTTCAATTGGAATATTTTAAAAATAATTGCAGGCGGGCCAGCCCGGGCGCCCGGTGCCGGGGCTGCGGAAAACGCAACCCAATTACGTTCGCTTCCATTTAGGACGTCGGGTTTTTTTTCTCGCCACAAAATGGGCACCTTGGTTGGGGCTCGGCTGCAAAACGCTGTTAGTTAGCAAAGGGTAATTCGCTGGCAGGTCCGGCCTCTTTAAGAGGTGTCCTTATTCTGCAACTCTCAACTGTCAGTCATCCATCGGCTGGCTAGCAATGGGGTCTCTCCTGAAATCAGACATCTTTGGGCTGATGGAGATAAGCTGTAGGTAGATGCCTCCACCACAACGGCTGGTCCTTCTCAGGAAAGATTGCTGATTTCACTGGGATCGGAGAAGAGACGATTCAAACCCGAAGGAGTTTTAACGACGGAGGGAAGGAAGCAGTGGGGTGCCACAAGGTTCCGTCTTAGGCCCAGCCAGGACTCTTCCGTATCTTCATTAACGACTTAGAGGAGGGAATAGAAGGGGAACTTAAACAAATTTGCAGAGGATGCTAAGCTGGCAGGAATAGCTAACACCCAAGAAGATAGGCTCAAGATCCAGATGGATCTTGACAGACTCGAACCCTGGGCCGTATCTAACAAAATGAAATTCAACGTAGAGAAAAGTAAAGTCCTCCACTTAGGCAAGAACCCCCCAAAGGACACATATAGACTGGGTGAAAACAGGCTCAATAGCAAGAACTGGGAGAGGGATCTCGGAGTCTTAGTGGACAACCAGCTAAACATGAGCCAGCCGTGTGCAGTGATAACCAAAAAAGCCAATGCAATCCTAAGTTGCATTAATAGAGGGATACAATCGAGATCAAGTGAGGTACTAATACCACTCTATAAAGCCTTAGTAAGACCACACCTAGAGTCCTGCATCCAGTTTTGGTCACCACACTATAAAAAAGATGTTGAGACTCTAGAAAGAGTGAAGAGAAGAGCAACCAGGACGATGAGGGAACTGGAGACTAACGGTTGCAGGAACTGGGCCTGGCTAGTCTGGTGAAGAGAAGGACCAGGGGAGACAGGAGAGCATCTTCCAATATTTGAGGGGCTGCCCCAGAGAGGAAGAAGAGGTCAAGCTATTTTCCAAAGAACCCGAAGGCCAGACAAGGATCAATGGATGGAAACTGACCAAGGAGAGATTCAACCCAGAAATAAGGAGAAACTTTCTGACAGTGAGAACAATCAACCAATGGAACAGAAGTTGCCTTCAGAAGTTGTGGGAGCTTCATCCCTGGAGGCTTTCAAGAAGAGACTGGACTGCCCTCTGTCAGAAATGGTGTAAAGTCTCTTGCTTGGGCAGGGGGGTGGACTAGATGACCTACAAGGTCCCTTGCAACTCTGTATATCTGGTAAGAAGGAACTACAGCAGACTCCCATGACAGTGGGTCAACCAGCAGGCTACCTCTGTCTCTGGGGAGTCGGAGCTAACCTGCTCCACCCTCTGCAGTGGTCCAAGGAGCAGAGGTAATGGTCAGTCTCCTAGGGGTTCCAGGCTGGACTGCTTTGCTCAAAAAAGGTTCCCTGGTCAGCAGGACCCTCCGGAACAAGAGATACCACAAACCTTTTCAAGGACTTTCTAGCTTTGTCAGAGAAGAAGACATCTTCCAGTTCACCTTCACCCAACTTCGGGGTCTTTGAGCTGTGTGGTTCTCTTGCAGACGTCTCATGACCCAACTGGGGAACGTCATCAGTGTTAGAAGGTGCAAACCCCGCTCTCCTCTAGCACTGAGGATGTTACCTAGTTGGGTCATGAAACGTTTGCAAGAAAGCAAGCTCCGAGAGCTCCAAGGACCCCACAGTCCTCCTCCTCTTCCTCCTCTCTACCACTGATGATGTCACCTAGTTGGGTCATGAAGCATCTTCAAGGAGACAACCGATCTCAGAGACCTCCAAGGACTCTGCCCTTCCTTCTCTTCTTCCTCCTCCCCACAAACCCTCCTCCCTTCTAGCACTGATGGGGTAACCTAGTTGGGTCATGAAATAGCTGCAAGAAAACCACCAAATGCAGAAAGCACCAAGCATTCCTCCCTCCTCCTCACCCCTAGCACGGATGACGTTATCTAGTTTGGTCACGAAACGTCTCCAAGAAAACAGCTAACCTCCAAGAACCTCCCAGTTTCCTCCTCCTCCTCCTCCTCCTCCTCCTCCGAGAGCACCCAGGACCCCACAGTTCAGCCCCAAGTTCAAAATATTCTCTTCTATCGCTACCACCCAACTACCTCTGCCGGTAGCCGGTTACCCCTTTTATCTCTTGCCATTTCTCGCCCCCAAGAAGATCGCAGCCTGTTCCAACCCTCTCCTTGTGGACAATTCTTGTGTTGTTGTTTTTTTACATCGAGGGTCACCCTGAGAGCCAGAGTTGGCCTGCAGCCCACCGCAAGGTTTTCTCCTTCCCCAATCACGGAAGGCTTCCCCAACGCCACTGCCTTCTCATTTTCCACGTCCTCCTAAAGACCTTCAGCACGATGGAAGGACGGGGTGGTGGAATTGGCCCACTCAACTCTGCTTTTAATTAACTCAGCGACTGGGCCCTCCTGGAGCATTAACTCCTAGGTGGGTGCCAAATCCTCTCCAAGGAGGTTGGTGCAAGGACTCTTTATCTATCTATCTATCTATCTATCTATCTATCTATCTATCTATCTATCTATCTATCTATCTATCTATCTGGCAATTTCAGTATCGTGGAGGGAGGAGAGGGGGAAGCCTTCCCAGGCCTTTCTCCTCTTCAGAAGTGGAAGAGTAGAAGGGGGTTGGACTAGACGACCCCACGAGGTCCCTTTCAACTCTGTTCATCCCGGCCACCGTCGCCGCCCCTGCTCCCAGGACCACGGAGACGCCCTGGCTCGACCGTGAACCAGAGCAGCTGATCGCGCAGCCAGCTCGAAGTAGGGCAGGATATAATCACCTCCGCCTCGTCCCACCGATTAGCCCCTCCGGCTCTCTCTCCGCAGGCAAAATAAAATAAATCCCCGTTTTATGGGCAGGGGAAGAAGGCTTGGAGACGGTGCCCTGCCCAGAGGGGCCTGGGAAAGACGACTTAAAAGCTGAGCACTTCAATTGTCGTCGGCAAGGGCTGCGGGATCTCACTTTGATTTTAATGTTTATTTATTTATAATGGGCTTTAGCCTGCTTTTCATTAAAAGTAATCCTAAACTAGGTACCAATTAAGCAGGCTCGGCCCGTAAAGGGAGCTGCCGGAACGATGACGGCAATATGGCTTGAACAAATGGGTCAAATCGGCAGGCGCAGAAAGGCAGCGGGATGGAGGGCTAGAAGGACAGCGAAACCGAGCTGGAAGGGGCCTTGGAGGCCATCTAGTCCAACCCCCTGCTCAAGCAGGAGACTCGATACAATCTGACCCAAGCGGCTGTCCGGTCTTCTTCTGGAAAACCTCCAGGGATGCAGCGCCCACAACCTCTGGAGGCAAGATTAATTAACACTGATTAATGAACAGAATAATGGAGTTGGAAGGGGCCTTGGAGGTCTTCTAGTCTAACCCCCTGGCTTGAGTAGGAAACCCCAGACCAACCTTGGGAACTTTTAAAGACATGTGGACTTCAACGCCCAGAATTCGCCAGCCGGCATGAGATAACCGTAATCAAATTATACAGGACCACATAATAACTATACCCTTCCAACTCTGTTACTCTACGTTTGCGGTTCTATGGTACCCATGTGATGGAAATAAGTCACCGATTTTGTAAGGTGTGAAGAATTCGAGAAGTTATCTGCAGTTTCTAGGTTACCTTTTTAAAATACGTAGATTCGTAAGAATAAAATAAGCGCTCCACACGTTGATATCTAGGCCATTTATCCAACTAAGTGCGATATTTGTTCGTTTTGGAAAACATCTGTTTTCCCACTTCTGTATAACCTCCCTAAAGGGTCCCAGAGGGTCATTATGTGATCCAGTGTGTGACAAGGGGCACCACAGTCAACTTCAGGGGAGGATACTCTGCCCCATTGAAACAGAGTGGGATATAATCCAGTCAATTGCTCTAATAAGATGGGTTGGCATGTGGGAAAGACCTTGGATGATTCAGCAAAGGAGATGCTACCTGGGAACGGTCAGATCAAGGGAGGGACTAATACCACCACTCTATAAAGCCTTAGTAAGGCCACACCTAGAGTCCTGCATCCAGTTTTGGTCACCACATTATAAAAAAAAGATGTTGAGACTCTAGAAAGAGTGCAGAGAAGAGCAACCAGCGTGATGAGGGGACTGGAGACTCAAACATACAATGAACGGTTGCAGGAACTGGGCCTGGCTAGTCTAGGGAAGAGAAGGACCAGGGGAGACAGGAGAGCATCTTCCAATAGTTGAGGGGCTGCCCTAGAAAGGAGGAAGGGGTCAAGCTATTTTCTAAAGCACCCAAAGGCCAGACAAGGAACAATGGAGGGAAACTGACCAAGGAGAGATTCAACCTGGAAATAAGGAGAAACTTTCTGGCAGTGAGGACAATCAACCAGTGGAACAGAAGTTGCCTTCAGAAGTTGTGGGAGCTTCATCCCTGGAGGCTTTCAAGGAGAGACTTGGACTGCCCTCTGTCAGAAATGGTGCAGGAATGCTTGGGCGGGGGTTGGACTAGATGACCTATAAGGTCCCTTCCTATTCTGTTATTCTAATCAGCGGAAGGACTCGCCTTCAGAAGTTGTGGGAGCTTCATCCCTGGAGGCTTTCAAGAATAGACTGGACTCCCATCTGTCAGAAATGGTGTAGGGTCTCCCGCTTGGGCGGGGGGGGGTTGGACTAGATGACCTACAAGGTCCCTTCCAACTCTGATTATCTGTTATCTGTTAAGATAAGAGCCAGAAGAGCCCTCAGCTGCATAATGCATGGAGAAAGAAACTCAGACGACACAGCCTCCCTAATGGGAGCAGAGATGTCCTTTCAGTTTTCGGCCGATTCCGCCAGTGTAGCTTCACAATAACACAGAATTAGCCCAACGAACGCGATTCCTATCGGGTTCGCCCCACGAGGCCGACATAAGGCAACTGATTTTATGTACGTGGGTTGGAATTCATACGATCCCTGCCAAAGATTTCTTTAGTTGGGGTTGCCATAAAGAGGAGGGGGTCGACTGGTCCTTCAAAGCAGCTGAAGTCAAGACAAAAAGCAACGGATGGAAGCTCACCTAGGAGAGACGAGAATCTGTCTATATAAAAGCGAAAGACCCCTCGCGCATCATCACAAAATCTCCAGAACCGTAAAGCCTACAAACTTGAAATTGGGACCGTATGTTTCCTCTTGGCTTCTAAAAAAGGATTTTTCCAAATGACCATCAGAGCATTTAGAGTATTTCCTATATTATTATTATTATTATTATTATTATTATTATTATTATTATTATTATTATTATTATTATTATTATTATTATTATTA